TGTACATAGACATTGGAACAAGGGATCAAATTGTAGTAATTAAGTTACTAGATAGCTTTGTATTGGAGGTATGTTTGATGTGCTAAACATGTGCATGCCACGAGGAATGCTTAATTATGCGAGAAGGGGCAACCACTAAATTAACTACCTTATCTGAGACTTTATGGGGCCGACATAAGATCTAGACTAGGCCATTTAAATCTCTTTGTTTGTATGAGGGCCACTTCAAAGTACCCTCTCTTTAGATATGCAATGCTGACGGCTATCTGTCCGGGAATGCAGTTTTCCCAGGCTATGACCTTACATAACTAAGGTTCCATCCAAACTCTTAATAATGGAGGGAATTTTGATAAGAGAGCCTCAACCCAGACGCCTCGGTGCCATTACCTGGCATATGTAATTTTATCACCAAAAGGGGAGGCTCTGGGAAGGGGCTGATTTATGTAAGCGATATGGGATGGGGATTAGTTAGTTCTACCAATCAGGTGGCCCCATGCAAGTCTATGAGAGAGGTGTTTATCAGAGTAGATTTTGGGGGAAGACAGGAGAGAAGATCCAACAATCCTGGGGGCCCCCATGCTACACCATTGGTAAATATCAGGACATCTCTCTGGCACTTTACATGTATACATGCTTGTCATATGTGTTGTCTGTCTTGCTGTTTGTGGGTTTAGGGTATGAGTATTATATTCTATAATTCATTGATTTAATCGTTTACATTTTGTCTCGCTTTTCCTTTTTCTTATTGTAAAATAGATAGATTGTGGTATGTTAGTTTAGACCTCCCTACTATTCACTAATAAATTTTGGTTGTGTTAAAACTTTCACTCTTGGTCAAAGAACTCTCATTAAGGTTAATCAAATCATATCAGAGAAAGATTATAGTTCATAATCTATAGATTTGGTCAAAACACACACACACACACACACACACACACACACACACACACACACACGTATTTGAACACCCTACGATTTTGCAAGTTCTCCCACTTAGAAATCATGGAGGGGTCTGAAATTCACATTGTAGGTGCATTCCCACTCAGAGACCGCATTAAAAAAAAAAAATTCTGGAAATCACATTGTATGATTTTTAAAGAATTTATTTGTCTTGCACTGCTGAACATAAGTATTTGAACACCTGAGAAAATCAGTGTTAATATTTGGTACAGAAGCCTTTGTTTGCAATTACAGAGGTCAAATGTTTCCTGTAGTTCTTGACCAGGTTTGCACACACTGCAACAGGGATTTTGGCCCACTCCTCTACACAGATCTCCTCTAGATCTGTCAGGTTTTGGGGCTGTCGCTGAGCAACACGGAGTTTCAGCTCCCTCCAAAGTTGTTCTATTGGATTTAGGTCTGGAGACTGGCTAGACCACTCCAGAACCTTAATATGCTTCTTACGGAGCCACTCCTTGGTTATCCTGGCTGTGTGCTTCGGGTTGCTGTCATGTTGTGTTGTGGACTTTTGAAATTATTCATCAAAACATAACCTTAATTCTGACAGCGAACCAGCCTAGCCATCTGTTAAGGGTTAACTTGTCTTGGTTGGAAATTCGAATGACCCTCCAGCTAAGAAATGTAAATAATGGGTGAAGGGATTTTTTTTTTCCCTAGAGACAATAGACTGTTTGTCTATCCATAGGTGGTCTAAGACTAGGATTCTGAGGAGTTTCAAGTGTATACTATGAGACTAGCAAGAATGGGATATGTCAACAAATACTGTTTATATATTGGGGTTGAATTGAATACATCTACAAAAGTTAAACAGACAGCCAGATGAGACATTGGACCTTCAAACATTGAGTCATCACACAACCAAAAAGACAATAAAGAGACAGAAACTCAACTGGTTGAAAGTTTGCCCAGAACCTTGCAGAGTGTGATGAACCAACAAACCTCTCGAACTATCACAATATGCTATTATCCACTAAGGTTGAAAGTATAAACGGTTGTTTACCCTGACTCCAACACAATGGACAGGTAAACAGAGGGTCTTTTCTCCTCATAGGAATTCTGGTTCTAACACAAAAAGGTTAAATTCAGGAAATATAAGGCTAAATACTGGATCTCTCTACCCACAGAGATATTATTAAAAAAGCATACTATCAATAGGATATTATAAAGAGTATGTTTCACACACCACAAAATATTCAGCAGAATGGGGATTATATATCACTAACTTGAGTATTGAGATGAGGAAAAGTAAGATATATTGTGAATTAGCATTAGTTGTATGTCTTATCAGGAAACAAATGCTTTCACACAAGTTGTATCTCAGGGAAATGAATAACTTAATAGGAACCATGGAATATCTGTGTATATTCGAACATTATAGGTATGATCAACTATATATATCTGGATAAGACGTATATTTAATACCTGAAATCACCTTGAGTTCCACCCGAGGTGTGATTCATCATCAATACTCAAATTGTTCTATGGTACATGACTGCCATCTGGCGGACAGGTGAGAAATAGCTTATGTACATACATTTCTCAACCAGCCAATCAAAAAGCCTGGTGGGAGGGTCTCTTAGAACAATAGTTAGATGGTATAAAAACCCATGCACCTCATTTAAAAAAAAAAAAAAAACTCATTGAAAAAGAACCTCATTGAAAAAAAGAACAACTAACTGAAGAACCTGACTGAAAACTGACTGAAGAAACCTGAAGACATCTGCAATCCATCTCTGCTGTCTATCAACTCTTCCATCCTTTCAAACTTCTAAAAACTTTACTTCTAAATCTCTGTACTTCTATCTTCCTACATTCTCCTACACTATATAACTATATCTCACTTTCCCCTGTGGTCATCATTCTGAAGGCGTTCCATTGCCAGCTGGATCCACTGGGAGGTGTCATATTCCTAGATCTGGGTGTGGTGAGACTGTCCATTTAATTTTGCATTGCATATTTTCTCTGTTGTGTAGAGTAATAGAATTACCTTAGAGTGATCACAGCTGTATTGGGTGTTTTTATATATATATATATATAGGGAGATCCCGTATTACTGTTAGATATTGTTGGTGTCATATTATTAATTTTTAATATATTTCATGAAATATTAAAAATTTGTAATTAGAGTATAATTTATCAGGGAATATCTTCTTCCATTGCTATGGCCACGTAATGAGAGAAAATAACCTCTGAAATACTCTAAAATTATTAGTTATTAATAAATTTAATTTTTAATCATTATCATTTAGAAGATTGTTATATGGTTTCCCATTATTTAGAAACATTATATTGTGTATGATATTGGGAGGGTATATCTTTGATTGTGTGTACCAGTATTCATTCATCACCAGTCTTTTGCGTTTTGTGTTAATATATATGTAAATTTTTGTACATAAATACATTTTTATATTTATCTATTATAAGGCAAATTTTGTGTGTATGGTACGAAATCATACTGGCTAAAAGAATTCAAGGTATAATAATAAGTGGTGATCAAATTATCAAGGTGTCCAAATTATTGGTTTACTAAATATTTGCCGTATTTTAAACGGCTGGAGGCACTGTAATATTTCATCTAAGGGGAAGGGACACCGCCCTTTACAAGTAGAATAAATCCTTACATAAACCACCACAGTTGGAAGACCCAGCCACGACCCATCTTCAATGCTCTCACTGAGGTTGTTGCTCAAAATCTCACAATAAATGGCCCCATTCATCCTCTCCTTAATACAGTGCAGTCGTCCTGTCCCCTTTGCAGAAAAGCACCCCCAAAGCATGATGTTACCACCCCCATGCTTCACAGTAGGGATGGTGTTCTTGGGATGCAACTCATCCTTCTTTTTCCTCCAAACACGACGAGTGAAGTTTAGACCAAAAAGTTCTACTTTGGTCTCATCTGACCACATGACTTTCTCCCATGCCTCCTCTGGATCATCCAGATGGTCATTGGCAAACCTCAGACGGGCCTGCACATGTGATGACTTGAGCAGGGGAACCTTCCGTGCAATGCATGATTTGAAACCATGATGGCGTAGTGTTCTACCGACAGTGACCTTTGAAACTGTGGTCCCAGCTCTCTTCATGTCATTGACCAGCTCCTCCCTTGTAGTTCTGGGCTGATTCCTCACCTTTCTTATCAGTGATACCCAACAAGGTGAGATCTTGCAAGGAGCCCCAGTCCGAGGGAGACTGACAGTCGTCTTTAGCCTCTTCCATTTTCTAACAATTGCTCCAACAGTTGATCTATTTTCACCAAGCTGCTTGGCAATTGCCCCGTAGCCCTTTCCAGCCTTGTGGAGGTCCACAATTTTTTCTCTGGTGTCTTTTGACAGCTCTTTGGTCTTGCCCATAGTAGTAGTTGGCGTCTGACTGACTGTGGGGTGGACAGGTGTCTTTAAAGAGCTCAGACAGGTGCTACTAAGCTAGATTAATGAGTGGAGTAGAGGTGGACTTTTTAAAGGCACAGTAACAGGTCTTTGAGAGCCAGAATTCTTGGTGTTTCTTAGGTGTTAAAATACTTCTGTTCAGCAGTGCAAGACAAATACATTCTTTAAAAATCATACAATGCGATTTCCTGAATTTTTCTTTTAAAATTCTGTCTCTCAGAGTGGGAATGCACCTACAATGTGAATTTCAGACCCCTCCATGATTTCTAAGTGGGAGAACATGCAAAATTGCAGGGTGTTCAAATACTTCTGTTCCTCACTGTATATATATATTTATTCTGGACATTAATATTGAAAATTGTATAGATGGGCAACTATCCTCATATTGATTAGCGGTTCCAAATTAATAACTACTGCAGTAGGGAACAGACACAAAAAGATAAACTCAGTATCTTTCCAAATCATTGTTCTCTTTATTCGGCATGTCTGCAGTTTTTTTTATACACATGATTGCATAGGTATAACATTAATATTACAATTGTACTTTAATGGTAACAAGGGGTGTTACTTAGGCAAGCTAATTTCTAATTAGGATTGCTGTAAAAGCAATAATTTCTCCTCTTCTCTGGCTGCATTCTTGCTGCCATTGAGAAATACTGTGTGAGCTGTGATTGGTCACAGCTTGACACATGGTACAATGCTGTTGTGAATAGCCTTGTACCATGCGACCTCTGATCATTCACAGATTTAACACGTAGTAAGCAATGATGTCAGAAGTGACATCTTGCTTACTACTCCTCATGTGATCACTGATTGGCCAATCAGTGATCACATGATTGGGTCCTTGCACAGAGGTCTCGTACAACGATCAGAGGACACAGCGGGCATCGGATTGCGGTGCTGCGCGCTGCACAAGCAGGGGGCGGGGATGCAGTTCATAAACGCCCACCCGCCCCTGCACTGCCACCGTCCGGCCATTATATACAACGGATGGGATGGGAAGTGGTTAAAGTACAACTGTAATATTAATGTGATACCTACGTAATCATTTGTATAAAAAAACTTCAAACATGCCGAATAAAGAGAAGAGTGATTTGGAAAAATTCTGAGTTTATCTTTTGTGTCTGTTCCCTACTGCAGTAGTTAATAATTTGGAACCACTAATCGATTTGGGATAGTTGCCCATCTATAACATTTTCAATATTAATGTCCAGAATACAAAAACACACACATATACGTACATATATACACATACATACATACATACATACATATATACACACTGCTCAAAAAAAATTAAAGGAACACTTTGAAAACACATCAGACCTCAATGGGGAAAAATATCATGCTGGATATCTATACGGATATGGACTGAGTAATGTGTTAGGAACATAAGGATACCCCATCGTTTGTAGGTTGATAATTTTAATTTCCAAAACAGGACTGAATTCAAAGACAACCCAAAAATCAAAGTTAATAAATGATGCAGCAGGCTAGTCCATTTTGCTGAAATTTCATTGCAGCAAATCAAAAATGGTACTCAGTAGTTTGTATGGCCCCCATGTGGTTGTATGCATGCCTGACAACGTCAGAGCATGCTCCTAATGAGATGACGGATGGTGCCCTGGAGAACTTCCTCCCAGATCTGCACCAAGGCATCACTGAGCTCCTGGACAGTCTGAGGTGCAACTTGGTGGCGTCGGATGGACTGAAACATGATATTCCAGAGGTGTTCTATTGGATTTAAGTCAGGCAAGCGTGGGGGCCATTCAATAGTATCAATTCTTTCCTCCTCCAGGAACTGCCTTGCATACTCTCACCACATGAAACCAGGCAATGTCGTGCACCAGGAGGACCCACTGCACCAGCGTAGGGTCTGAAAATGGGTCCAAGGATTTCATCCCAATACCTAATGGCAGTCAGGGTGCCATTGTCTAGCCTGTAGAGGTCTGTGCATCCCTCCATGGATATGAAAATTAATGGTGCAGCGCTAACTACAAAAGTGAATAAAAATGAATAAAAAAAATGTGTATCCATATAATCAAAGTGCTAATAAATCAACAAACCAAAAATATACATATAACAATAAAGTGCTAATCAGAACCGAGATATAAAGTGGACAATACTAGTGTATAGGTCACCTTAGTGACCTAAAAATAGTGATAAACACACACAATATATAATGAAATAAACTGGTGTTAAGTGTCCTAGGTAATAATCAAAAAACCTTTTAAAGCAAGTACAACAAGTCCATAAAGTAACAAGTGCTGATAAAACGTGATAAAACACCATGCAATGTCTTAAACGTGAACACTTTGTGCAAGTGCCGGCACACTTTAAATCCACTCCAGCTGCAGTGCCTCCTCACCTCCTTCCTGTGACCCAAAAGGGCCCAACAAGCATTCAGGATCACTCTGGATCCTTTATATCTCCAGCTAATACCTCTCCAGAAAGCCAAGGATCATAAACGGTCTCCTGTTCAGCCTCCAAATGCTTCCTCCTCTGCCTTTTATAAGGCTATTCTGTAGGGTATATTACTCACAATCCCAGTGAGTAATAAAAAGATCCACAAAAATGCCACAAAGCCACCAGGCAGACCAACCATGTGGCAGCATCAGACCATGTGCAAGACCTCCATGGATATGCCTCCCCAGACCATCACTGACCTACCACCAAAACGGCCATGCAGAATGATATGACAGGCAGAATAACCTCCTCCACGGCTTCTCCAGACCCTTTCACATCTGTCACGTGTGCTCAGAGTAAACCTGCTCTCATCTGTGAAAAAGCACAGGGCACCAGTGGCGGACCTGCCAATTCTGGTGATCAATGGCAAATGCCAATCGAGCTCTATGGTGCTGGGCAGTGAGCACAGGGCCCACTAGAGGATGTCGGGCCCATAGGCCACCCTCATGAACTCACTCTGTTTCCGATTGTCTGGCCAGAGACATTCACTCCAGTGGCCTACTGGAGGTCATTTTGTAGGGCTCTGGCAGGGCTCATCCTGTTCCTCCTTGCACAAAGAAGCAGATACCGGTCCTGCTGGTGGGTTAAGGACCTTCGACGGCCCTGTCCAGCTCTCCTACAGTAACTGCCTGTCTCCTGGAATCTCCTTCATCCTCTTGGGACTGTGCTGGGAGACCCAGCAAACTTTCTGGCAATGGCACGTAGTGATGTGCCTTCCTGGAGGAGTTGGACTGCCTGTGCAAACTCTGTAGGGGTCAGGTATCGCCTCATGCCAACAGTAGTGACACTGACCCTAGCCAAATGCAAAACAGTCAGAAAAGATGAGTAGGGGAAAAAATGTCAGTGGTCTTCACCTGTAAAACCATTCCTGTTTTGGGGGTCGTCTCATTGTTGCCCATCTAGTGCACCTGTTAATTTAGTTTCAGCTGCTTTGCAGTGTTAATGAAATTAACAACCCTCTCTTCTACTCAACTGACCAGATCAATATCCCAGGAGTTTAACTGACTTGATGCTATACTCTGATTAAAAAGTGTTACTTTAATTTTTTGAGCAGTGTATTACACAAATTTCCTGCACAGAACCCAATACACTACCTTCACACAAAATTTTCATGCAGAAAACAGGATGGACAGTGGCAAGAATTGTAAAATTTTTTACATTTGGGAGATATTGGTAAAAAACAAATAGCGTCTTCTTATTCTCGACCGTAGGGTTATATTGCTATCTAGGCAGAAAGACAAACTGGGCAACACCTATGGGCAATCCTAGCTGATATAAAACCCTCTTTCTGCTATAGGCATCCAGTCAAAGTGAGGGGTGGGAAAGCACACGGCCAAAACAAGAAAAATCAAACCAGGCCAAAAGGAGCTCAACAAGAACACAGGAGCCCAACCGGAAATACATCCCCAAAAGCAAACAGACCCCTGAAAACTTTGCGCCCAAAACAAGGCATCCACAGATGCCAAGACATCCACTTTGTAAAACTTAGTGAAGGTGTGCACCAACAACCAGTTTGGTGACTTGCAAATTTGAAACACCGATGACTGATAATGGAAGGTAATAAGCGCCCGAGTAGAGTGCGCAGTTATGGGAAAGGGAGGAACCTGACCTTTAAGGGTGTAGGCCTGAACCACTGTTTGCCTGATCCACCTAAAAAAATGGTAGCAGAGGATGCCGCCAGCACCTTCCTTGGCCTGTCCGTGATCACAAAGAGTCTGACTGCCGAAAAGACTTTGTAGCCACTAAATACACCCGAATAGCCCAAAACCACATCCAGGGCATGCAGCGCAAACTCCTTGGGATGTGAAGACCTGGGGCACAAAAAAGGCAGAACAAGGTGTTCATTCACATGAAAATGCAAGACAACCTTTGGTGGAAAGGATGGGCATGGGCAGAGAACCACTTTATCTCTGAACCACCAAATAAGGAGTACGACAGGATAAGGCCATCAGCTCCGACACTCTGCGTGTGGAGCTGATAGCCACTAAAAAAAGCAACCTTCTGTAGCAACGTAAGCAAGGAAATCTCTTGAGTATTCTCAAACTGAGGTTTCTGGAGAACAGAGAGAACCAGGTTCAGGTCCTACAGTGGCAACAGAGAGCGCACTGAAGAAGCCATGTGCCAAACCTCTTGTATGAAAGTACGAACCAAAGAATGCGTGGCCAGGGGACAATGAAAGAAAACCACCAGAGCAGTCACCTGGTCCTTAACTGTACTCAAGTACAACTTCGGCCTAAATCCGAGCCACTGAAAAGGATGGGGGGGGGGGGGGGGGGGTGGATGCCCGCTGTCTCACACCATGAGATGTACGCCCTCCAGGAATGATGGTAGATCTTTCTAGAGGTAGACTTCCACACCTTCAGCATAGTAGGGATCAATGACCTCGACAAGCTTCTGTCTCTCAACACCTGGCTTTCAACAGCCAAGCTGTGAAAGCCAATGACAATAAAGCAGGGAGGAAGCTCTGTCCTTGGGACAGCAGATTATCTATGAGAGGCAGTCTCCAAAGGGTGTCAGCGACCAGTCGCACCAAGTTGGCGTATGTACTATGGCCGGCAGGACCACCAGAATGACTGGAAGTCCTTCTGCCTCTATCCTGCACAAGAGGTGTGGAAGAAACGTATGAGAAGGCAGAGCGTAGAGGAGGCAATACTGGCTCCATGGCACTACCAGGTCGTCTGTGGCATCCATTAGGGGATCCTGGGACCTTGCCATGAACCTCCAGATGTAGGGACCACTGTCCTTAATCCTGCAGACTAAGATAATCCGCCTGCCAATTGGCCATGCCTGGAATGTGCATGGCAGAGAGCGCTGGCACATAGCGTTCCGCCCATCTGAGAATGTTGTAAGCCTCCAGCACCGCCATCACACTCCTCACTCCACCTTGGTGATTGACCTAGGCCACTACTGTGGCATTGTCCAACTGGATCCAGATTGGGTGCATTCGGAGACACTCCATGCACTGCTCCAGGCACAGCCTGATTGCCCCAAGGTTCCAGGACATTGATCAGCAATCTGGATTCCTCTGGCATCCAGCAACCCTGAGCCGAACTCGGACCCAGGACTGCTCCCCATTCAGACAGACTGGCATCTGCCATGACCACAGTCCAATACAAGGGAAGAAAGGATTTTTTCTTCCTGAAGGTTCTGAAACCAAAGCCACCAAGCCAGGGATCCCCTGGTTCCCCAACCCAAGCAATCTGTGAGTCCACGGACTTGGGGACTTGTCTCACTAAAGTAAGATCTCATCTGGAGAGCCCTTGTGTGGAACTGGGCACACAGAACCACCTCAAAAGATAGACACCCTTGAAGGCAGGTCAGGCCCAGAACCTGCATGCAAGTCCAGAAGGAAGACAGCCTGTCGGAAAAAACAGATGAGTCGCAGAACGCAGCTTCCAGAGCTTGTCCATTGGAAGGAACACCCTGGCCAGGACGAAGTCAAGAGTCAGACCCAGGTATTCAACTTCCTGGTCGG